CGTAGATTCTATCGCGTTTTTCGCTTAAAATGCGGGACGCGACGTCTTTACGCTCGCTTATCTTCCAAAACAAACGGATCGTCAAAGCCCCGAAGCGGACTTGTTTTGATAACTTCTTCGCACGCCCCTGGGCACTTTCGCATTCCGGTCCAAACAGAAAATGTAGTGGCAGCGCTTGCTCTTGAACATGTGCTTGCGATAAGCAGCTGTTCGTACGCACTGACAAGCTTGATCGAGGTGGCGGTGAAAACGGTGGCGATTCTGTGCCTATATGAATTCCGCCGATCATTGCCAGTAGTTCCGTTGCCAACCAACGGCTGTTCGGTTCGCCAGAGGGGTCTTTGACACCGTTGGAGCGTGCCGAGCTTTGCAAAAGTTCACGGAAAGACTTTTCTATTTTTCTATCTTTTTTACGGGTACAAGTAGTTTAGACGCTCGAGCTCGCGGGCCTAGCTCGGGGTCATAACGGCCCTTGACAACTTGCTGTTTAAAACACGGAGTAGTTGCAGTTTTTGTTCATTTTTACGATTAGTTCGATTATGCTAGCGTGCGAGTAAAGGGAGAAGGATCGTACTGTTTCACCGAGCTCGCTCTTGGGGCCTCGGTTGTGTTTTGATCGAAGTCAGGATGAACAGGTTGATGAACTCGTTTAGGGAGGGCACATAATCGTGAAAGATAAAATGCCGGATGGATGGATGGAATACATTAAATAAACGTTGTTGCCAGTTGGGAGTCATATCTGTCGGCCCGTTCGTGGTCCCTTCCTAAATGTGTGACAGTTTGTAAAATCCGGAGAACGATCCAGTACGTAGGAAGGCGTAGTAATTCCTCAAACTGCCTCAAATCGCCCCCCCCCCCCCCCCCCCTTTTTAAAAAAAAAAAAAAAAAAATTGTGGATAGTTTTTTTGTTTTAAAGGCTGCCTTTTCAAGAACGGGAAATAACTAAGGAAGGAGACTGCGTGCGTTAGTGGGCGGCACGTTTTTATGCGTGCCTTTGTCGTTTTTCATTCTTCTCTCTTATCCTTCCGGTATGTTACAACAGGCTCCGCGGGAAGTTTATTATCATCCAACCTTCGCCGTGTCGGTCGCGATAAGCACGAACTCCCCCTCGCCCTACTTCGTAGTCTGGTGCCGTCGAAGTCGCTCCTGCTCGGGCTCTTCTCACACGTCGCCGCCTCAACGTTTTTTTTTTTTTTTTTTTTTTATTATTATTTAGTAGCACTGAGGTGTTCCGCGTTCCCACGAAGTTTGTTTTCTTCCTTCTGGGAACCAGCGACGCCGATGGCTTTGTGTCTCTCGTTGAAGGATGCCCACCCCTCTTACCCACTATTATTATATGGCTTATTACCGAGAAGGCTCGTTTTAACCGAGATTTCGGTCGCATGTCAAAAGATCACCAGGTGTTCGGAATTACTAATCCTCAGCCGGGGAGTGCAAAATGCCCTTCGCTGGTTTAGCGCGTAAACATTGTAAACTTTGAACTGTGTTGCCAGACTTCTACACAAAAATGTCAGATTTTGAGGAAAAAATACTTTATACCACAGTTTGTTTCGAAGTTTGTAGAATAATTGCCAATGTATTTTTACTCAAGAGGTAATATAGATACTTTTAATAATTTAGTTAGTTCGTTATACATTGCACCCCCTACCAAGAGGCATCAGCTCATATTCGATTTCCTGGAGAGCCTAGATTTAAGAGAGAGATCAGCTAAAACCATGGAGCGCCTTTTTAATTTAATTGGTCGCAAGTGTGCTTGCATTGCGTTGTCGTGTGGCGAGGAGAAAAGCAGGTGGAGAGGTGGCTACGCTTGCGAACAATCAATGCGTCCGTCACCTCCTCTTTCAGTTTGTGTTGCAAACGCGGCCCGTAAACCGCCTGACCCCGGTCAAGCAGTTGTGAACATTGAAATCTAGGCACACTAAATTTCCCCACATGCGTGTAATAGTCAAACTTAAACACTTTATGTGCATTGTTTTGCACACTTTTCATCAACACGGGGGGATCTCTCTTACCGGCAGGTGGGGACTGATTAGCTTTTTCTCAAAATGCAACCGGGTTGCATTTTGGCAGTGTCGTTGCACTCTCTTATGTCTTGCGACGAAAGGGCCAATCAGGCTGGAGATTTTGCGACGTGTACTTAACCACAAACATGTCATGACCCCCCTCCCATCCTGCATCTTGCAAGTGCTATCAGAGGTGCGAGGGTGTGGACCTGTAGAACGTGTTCCTCGTGTGAGCAGTTGCTCGAGGAACTCACTTTCTAAAACAATCCGCTCGTTCTCATTGCTTCTATGACGAAAAAAAAGCTCGTAGTGAGGGAACTCTTTCTTGCTGACGGCTGAACTTGTTCTTTTCGTTTGTTGTTCTGACAGGGCCATCTTTCTTGGCATTTGTGTTTAGTTTGGCAAAACTTCCGTTGACTCAAAACAAGCCCGTTGAGAGATATTGCTGCCTGGTCAAAAGTTGTGCGGTGATGGGGACTCGGCTAAAAATTCTCTTTGGAGGAAGGTTGCATTTGGAAGTTCGAGGAAGTTTGCTTCTGAGGTTCGTTTGCAGTCTGCACTTACAGTGAACTGCTCGCGTCGAGGAGAATGGACGATTGTCTATGATTGTCTACAGCCCTCACAAATGTGCGGAATCAACTTTCCCAACTACAAATTAAAGAAAAAAGAAATAAACCTTGTGGAGACTTTAGAAAGAAAAGGATAGTGAGATTAAGATTTGGTTGTGATGCAGCTGAAATATGAGTGGTGTGGATGGGAAACGGCTGCACTACAAAAAGCCACGTGTTGTGAGATGCGTCGTATCTGGTTTTTATCTTGGACAAGTATGCATTTGCTACTCGAGGCTTTGGGTAGATGTGGGGGTGGCCCCCGATTGACGCAGATAAGAGGTTATCTGTGCCAAGCCACACAGGAATCTCAAAGTAGGTGTGTGCTTTGTGTGGATGCAAGGTGGTCCTATCTGCCTGTTTTCTAGGGCATTCTGGGACTCTCAGTGTTACAGTGAGCAAACTTGTTAAAAAAGAATGAATGAAACTTACACTTATTCACACCATTGCCTATGACTTTTCCTGTTTGCAAAATGGTGAATTCCAAAAGGCAGGCCTCCAATTTTTCTGCCTTTTAATGTAGTGTGGGATCCAATTTTTTTGCTTTAGATATCACAAGGACAACACACTGCCTTTGCTGAAGAGCTTGTCAAGGCATAACCGTGCGACGCTAAATAAGTACACACTAAGAACATTTTAACAAAAAGGTATTCAGATGGTGCTTCGACAAAAATGACAAGATATCAGATTTTTGCTTTCGTGAACCTGCATCGTGCCACCATCAGGCTGTAAGGAAAAGACTTTCTATGTAGAGTTGGGCTATTGAAGTGACCTGCACCTGTTATTTGAATTGTTAAGAAGTCATAGCGGCACACAAACTAGCTTTTGTGTAATTTCCTTTAGGGGATGTTTTACGTTTGTTGATTGGACTCTCCTGACCCTGCAGCTCAGCATAGCACTCCTCAGTATTTCATACCTGCCAAATCTCCTGTATTACCCGGGAGACTCCCGAATTTCTACCATCTCATAGTGTTGTACGATTGACAGAAAAATATCCCAGAAAATGCACTTAAACGAGGAATATTTTGCTGTAGCAAAGGACGGCAGCAATGATAGCAAGACCGAGCTGTATCTCGCTAGCATGAGCAGTGCAATACAAATATAATGACATTACCATAAAATACCGGGCAAGCGCCCACTCAAGATTTTGAGATAATCATGAAAAAATGGGGGATGGGCGCTTGTCCGGTCATCGATTCTACATATAAATGTACTGTGCGTATTTTCTCAAATTTTACAAGTTTGGGTATGGGCGCTTAATGGTGGTATGGGCGGATGCACGGTATTCTACGGTATCTTCATGTCAATTCATTGTCAACCAAACATTTTGGGTTTGGTTTCTCCGAACTTGACAAATATGGTATTGGGAAGATTACAGTGCATTACTTCTAGGCAATTGTAACGGCTTTTGAGCTTGAAAACACGGGCTTCGTGTCTTTCTGCAGGGTAACTCTACAACTCGAATACATCGTCATGAGAAGTGGTACTTCCCTCCGTAAAACTATTGATTTAGAATATTTGTTTTTCGTCTAAGAAATGGGCTTCGCTTTTGCTCCCACTCCCTATGAGCTAACATTTGAGCCCTGGCTGGTGACTGAAGGACGACACAGTTTGAATCTACAGGCGGGACAGTGTCCATCCCTCAGAACACACACGTGTGTTTAAAAACCACACGGAACGAGCACTGGCTGACAACTGGAATTTTTTTGGGAAAAAACGAAGCCCATTGCGGTGGTTGTCAGGCTGTCAAGTAACTGAAAAACAAAACAAGCAAAGGAAAAGCTGCAAAATAAAGCAAGAAAGAAGTTGCCTGAAACAAAAAAGAAAGAATTGGAACCAGAGTCGAACCATTTGCAATTTCGAATTCATGTTGTAATGTGCGTAGACCTGCGCACACAAGTGGTGCATGTTTTGCGTCCCACCAGGCACTTCAGCAAACTGCTGTCCATGTTTATTCCCACTGTAGTGTATTGCTCGGTCACAAACCGCAGAGGAAGGGTGTGATTTCGGGATAGTGGAGGACGCGCTTAGCAAATTGGCATTGTAAGATGAAGTGGTAGTGTGGGCTCGGGAAACACCTGAAGCAGAGATAAAGAGCTCTGTGTTGAACTTCAGAACAAGCAAACGGTACCTTCAAACACATGCACAACCATACATAAATGCATGGCACATGCATTTATGCCATGCATTTGGTGTGTTGAAACACATGCCCAAATGCACAACCCACATTGTCCGTGGGAACGGCCTAATCATAACAGATTGCGTGCATCCTTTTTCTATCTGATGTCGATGTGCCGAGAAACTGAGACAGAGGAGAAGGCGAAAGCACACAGGAACGTCAGAACGCCGGCCTCATAGATTGAATGATTAGTGGGTAGACTTAAGGCCTGTTCACACATACAGCGGAGCGCTAAGTTAGCGCTACGTGAGCGCTCCAAGGAGCGCTCATGTGGCGCTTCCTGGCACACGACTTAGTTCTAACACAGCGCGCGATTAGCGCTTCTGTAGCGCCTTGTTAGTGCTCCAGTAGCGCCTTGTTAGCGCTCCAGTAGCGCCTTGTTAGCGCTCCAGTAGCGCCTTGCTAGCGCTTCTTGTACTGCGGTGCTGCAGATTAGCGCGTGCACTGCGGTTCCGGTTCCTGTGGTTGGGTGTGCATCAGCAGCACCATGGTGGACATGTGGGATGCTGAAATAGAAATGCGACAAATGCTCTTACATACGCGATTAGTGCATATGTGTGTGGACGGCTTAACGCCCAGAATAGCCTTCTGGGTGCGCGAAATCTTTCGCCACCGAAATACCAACGGGTACCTGGTGAACCTTGTTCCTAGGCTGAGGGACCGAGACACAGAGCTCTTTCGAAGGCGGTTATTTTTAACTGCGTGTCTTTGAAACCAGGGTCATGCATATCGAATGGAAAGCGATGAGGTCGTACCCAATCAATTAGTCGCTCAAAGTCCATGACCCTGGGTCGCCTGCCCGACCCTTTGCTTGGAGAGCGGCTGTTTTACTTCCTCCTCTTTCAATGCCAAAGGAAAAACAACAACAAAGGAATCGCCGTGCACGCGCTGTTCTGCAGCAGCAAGCACGGCACAAGGAGCGTGAGAGCTCTAACAAAGCGCTTCTGTAGCGCTAACAGAGCACTAACAAAGCGCTTCTGAAGCACTAACAGAGCGCTACTGAAGCGCTAACTGAGCGCTACATCACGCGCTAGGAAGCGCCACATGAGCGCTCCTTTGAGCACTCACATAGCGCTAACTTAGCGCTTCGCTGTATGTGTGAACTGGCCTTTAAAGCTAGCTGCCTTTGTGTCCACTGCACTCGTCGAAACGTTCGAATGCGAGAGCCGGGTGTCGGCATTCCGCGTTCTAACACGTTTCATGAGTGCAGTATAGACAAAAGTTGAGGAAGCGCTTAGGAAATTGTTTTGTTGGAAAATTGTTGGAAAATGATTCGTCTGCCCACTAATCATTCCAACCAGAGCTTGGTGTTCTGACGTCCCCATGCACTTTCATCTCCTCCTCTCTCAGTTTCCTGGTGCATAGACGATAAGCTTGATTGACTTCAGACTTTAAATTTCGGCATCAGTGGCTATCGAAGGTCACGGAAACCTCAACTAACGCTTGCTTTTATGTGCAACGACACGACCCCCCTAGATTGAGCTGCCGGTTTACGAAAACCGCTTTTACTACGATGCTCAAAACGCGTCTCCAGCTGGTGTGTGTACCGTACCTCAGTTTTTGCCCGGTGGCATCTCGCTCGTGCATGGTGCGAGGTTCTCGGCATTGTGTCAGATCCCTGGCACATCAGCTGTGTGCCACCACCAGGTTCATGGTGAACCGCAGCATTACAACATTGTGACACCACCAGATGGAAATCTAGGGGACAAATATAAAGACGCAATAAACACGCCGGTTGGAGATGGAGACGCAGTCTGGGCACCGTAGTTCCCCTATCGGCGTAGTTCCCGCCATAGTTTTGCTGCAATTCCCTCAGCTCTTCGCATATATCTTGCCATAGTTTCCCTGCCATAGTTCTTGTTATAGTTTCCCTCATAGTTTCGGCTGTAGTCCCCCTGCCACAGTTCCCTCTGCCCTAGTTCCCCCCCCCTGTTGTAGTTCCACCCGCCGTAGTTCCACCCACCGTAGTTGCCCCCGCCGGCAGACGCCCGCCAATGCCCGATGGGCGTCTGCCAGGCCCTGCATGAGCTGACGCCGGTGGGTGGGTGACGGGTTCTCAGTCGTCGGTGCAGACGTTCCGGCCCAAGAAGAAGTTTGAGCCCGGCACAATGCGCTACTCCCTCCACAAGCAGGCCCAGGCTTCCCTCAACTCGGGGCTCAACTTGCGCGACGCCGTGCGGCTCCCGCCCAGGGAGGACATGAACGACTGGCTCGCCGTCCACGGTACGATCACTTTTTTGCCTTTTTGGACGGTTGAGTATGTTGCTGACTGCGGGGCGGATTCACGTGACACAATTCCGGCCCGAAATTTCTTGGACTTCGATGAACTTACGCCCATGTCTCTCTTTGTGCGGAGGCAGTGTTCTTTTAGCTCGCTCGAGTTCTTTCTCACCATGATCGACTGCGTTTACTGGAGGAGTTGACGACACGAAGGAGCAACGCCTGGTGCTCAAGCTCTATGCATACAGGTCTTCATTCGTAATGCAGAGGCGCTCGAGAGGTTGACTAATTGAACACCAAAACGTCTCCAGTAGATGCCACCGAAAGGAAACAAAGCATACCTACTAATTGCAGGTTTATGTGACCCATATAAGGTCCCCGGTCAAAGTTATCAAGTACTTTCGACAAAGCCACTCGCCGTGCTTGTGTGTTCAACACCAAAAACGACTACAATGACTACCGTAATCGCCTGCGTGCAAACTAACAAACATGGCAACATACGGCTTGGCGGAAGTGAAAAGGCGTTTTGTAAAGCTGCCCTACAGTCGGTGACAGGATGTCCTCACTATGCACTATTACCAATATTTATATTAGTATGAAAGCGAAAGAACAGAAGATTGCCTAATGTAGCAACTAGAAAAAGCAGAAATAAGATACCGTAGAACATAATTACAGCCATAATAATAGGATAACTAAAGTTCGTAATTTGAACAGGACTAGTAGAATGTTTGTTCAGAAATCAGACATGGGATTTAAACATCTAAAAAGAATCTACCTATATAGGAATTTCACATCTCACACTTACTACGACAGAAGTTTGCTGAGAATGGGTTGTTTCTTAAATATTTGCGACGGTAACTTCCGGTCCTCGAGATGTCTCGAGATGCCTGCTACAGACGACGAGGGCATGTTGAATGACCGATGTCGTCTGCAACGGCTTGAGTCATTCGCATAATGATATGATTTTGATTGTTTATTTATTAGGAACATGATGGGTCTAACAAAACTAATCAGGTTCATAAAAAGAAATGGTATTCGTGTGCAATATTATATCACGAAAATCATTGCACAAATGGAGATCGTCTGCAAAAAATTATGGTACTGCATCGGCGAGAGAAACATCTGTTTAGTAGGTTTAGTACATGATATCAAAGCAGCGCCAGGCTTTGCTTGTGAGTTTGCAGATTGACGTGCATCGCAACGAAGAACCAATTTATTTTACTTCAACACAATTGGTTCGAGACTGCAAATTTTGTTTACACACTCTCCACCACAGCAGGGAAAAAAAATTTCTTGGTTCTTTTGTTTTCAGCAAGATCCTAAATAGCGAAAGAATGTATACTGCGGAAGAACATCGGGCAAGTTTATACATGTTACGGATAGATTGTTTGATTGCACAGATGTGCACTGAATCAAGTGCATTCTGTGCCGTCGTAACTATTTGAAACCCGTGCTGGCCCGCACTTTGACGTCGATGCTCTTTGCGTGGTCGTCGTAACTTATCATCATTACGCGACGGCACTTCATTTTCACTCTTGTCATGGCAATATCGAAGCCTCTCTGGCAGGCATCTGCATGCTAGCTCGAGCACCTCAAGCGTCGATCCAGGTCGTGCACGAGCACTCTTCGCTTTCGAAATGCCATAGAAAGCTGTTCCTGAGAATATAAAGTATCATCACCCCTTTCCAACTTAATGCAACACAGTTGCAGGCTCCATCATAAAGGATGACACGAAGCCATCATGTCGTGTCGTCTTCTAAACAAAAAAACAAAAAAATTGGAATTTTTGTTACAGGCTTTTATTGTCAAGATATGGCACTGAAACGATAGAAAAAGTATTTACTATTAGATATTGAGAAGACGAAATGCTTACCAAAAATTATTTACTTTTTTTTATCAAATTCTAATTCCGTGTCGAGCGTCTGTGAGTTTGTCCGTAGCGACGGCCCTAGCAACGGTTTGTTTGGAGCATGGTGCCTCGTAGTGTTGTCATCATTTGCGGGGTCAGTTAGGGATGTCGTTCCAATCACACGCCTCGTGGAACTGCTTAACTGATTAATGCATTTGTCGAACCAGTTACTGTCAAGACCAGTTAAAACGAAGTCTACGGGAATCAGAAATCACTTCGCTATATCCGCTATTTTGTTATAACTGACTTCGGTTAACAAAGTGCAAAAGGGAATGGGAAATCGTGATCACTTTGCTGTAGCCGCTATTTCGTTATTGCCGACTTCTTTATAACACACAAAATGACCACTTGTTTCACTCGTATTGTCTTCCGCATTTAATTTGGGTAGCTGTCGAGAGAGGCGTTTATCAAACGACAAAGTCGACCGACGCCTGTTGTCGGTTCGTTACGGCGGCAAATGAACGGAACGGAAAATTACAATAGTCAAAAGTTTGGAGAGCGACGTAGGAGGTCGGCGTCTCTCCGGCACGAAGGAGGCGATCGGGTCCAAGTCCTCGCCAACCGCTGACGTCGCAGTCGTTTTTGATGCAAGCCGAATTAGCGCTGAATGTCAACGCGGGCCTCGCGTCCGGCACGCGCTCGAGATACATGCCTGAACGACGGCGGACTCGGACGATCTGGGTGGCAACTACTAGACGGCGCACACTTTTTAAAATAGTATATTAGATAGAAAAGAGGTCAATAGATGAGAAAGAGGGACCTCGTACTATACAGATATAAAACGAGTGGAAAACTAAAATGAAAAATTTGGCCGAAGTTTCATTTCCTATATTAGTCTACCTTTACTTACTACAGCCTCTAATAGGAGGTGTCAGGCGAAAGCGCTTGCACTCGTGGTGAGAGAGTGCGCAAAGGGGCGAGTGCGAAAAAATTAGTGCGTGCTTCGAAGGAAACGCGAAGATACGAAAAAGTGGAGTCCAAATGGACGTGCGTCCACCAGGGACGCAAACTCTGCCTTCCACTTGCGTCAGAGCACTAGCTCTGGCAGGGCCTTCTTTGGGAGACCGTACGTGGCAGCGTTAGCGCCATTGAGGCACAAAATGCGGACCGAGTTGGTTTGTGCAACGTCTCTTGAAGCGAACGGAGGATACATTCTGCATTACTGGTGCCCATGCCATTTAATCTCCTCGTCACCTCTCAAGTATCACTCTTTCGTACCAAACATGCTAGCAAGGAATTTTGGATGTTTTTCGACGTACAATACTGGGTGGGCGCCCACCAGGGGCAGATCCAAAAGGGGGCGCGACGAAAGCAGCCGCTCCCCCCCCTCAAACGAAGTCGACCCCCCTCCCTTCTTGGAGGGCAATTTGACATAGGTGGACCCCCCGGTGCACACGAAAATTTGGGAGACTAGTATCCTTAAAAATTTTCTGCACCCCCCCCCGCCCCAAAACAGAGTTCTGGATCCACCCCTGGCGCCCACCCAAAGTTTGAAGATAATCTGATAAAACGCTTCCCTTTACGAGTCACATAAAATATTGATCCTTCGATTCCAGTGCCATTTCTTCAAAGGATCGACATACATATTATGAAAGACAATACAAAACATTTGCCATCAGTTGATGATGCTGAAGACAACAGCACGCACAGAACGACATACAAACGACAAGATCGTTAGTCTTGTGACCTTGTTTATTATGATTGTCGTGACTTGTCTCCGAACCAGCGAATTGATTGTCCTGTACACTCTGCGCAGTGGTGGACTTCTTCAACCGGATCAATCTCATTTATGGAACCATCTCGGACTACTGTACGGAAGAGAGCTGTCCAAGGATGTCCGGCGGACCCAAGTAAGTCCCTCTCCTCCGGTGTTTCGTGCCGCAGGCATTTGTTTTTTCATACTGAAATGTTTCCCTGGCTTCTTTAAATGACTGTTCTTGAACGAGGGTCACAACTCTATGATATATTTTGTTCACTCTGACTTCAGCAGTCTTTCTTCTGAGAAAGTAAATACATTGTCAAGTTTATTGGAGAAAAGGATTATATTAGTCTGCCTGAAATCAGCCGAGTCAGTGTGAGATTTCTCTCAGGTTGTAGCCCTCGGTTCAAGTTTTAGGAGTTAGCGTGCATTAATGGCAGCCTCAAACAATGCGAAACATTTTCGTTGGTTCCTCATGCAATGAACAATGTATATAACGCTGGGATACAATTCTGTGAAACCTTATGAGTCGGAAACAGTCCGAAAATAAGTGGTTTTTCTAATATTTCACTCGGACTACATGCAATGTCCACAGATCAGTTTACTTCTTTTCACATAATATTTCTAAAAGGAGCATATTGATAAATTGTAAAATATAAGGCACCTGCAGCCTACCGCCAATATGTTGCTTGCAAGACGAGATTCGCAACGGTTTGTTTGACAAACTAGAATGACAAAAGAATGAAACACCTTTTCCTGCCTGTACCGTCTATTGGGCAATGGTACACATTTTGCACGCACATTCCTTGATTAAAAGATTCCATCATTCGAAGGAATTCAGCTGTCCTCTTTAATGCTGAAGCACTGGAAGTTCACTGCTGCCTTTTTGGAAGATATTTTTTTTCATCAACTATTATACACTTTGTCTCGCTTATTTTTTTTATCTCGAGGAGCCTTTGACAGCTCACGGACTTTGTTAAGAATAATACACATCGTACTCGGGAGCTAGGTGGAGGCGTCGTGAAAGCATCTGGAAAGTAGTCACGCATCAGTGAATGTTTCACTTGCACTAATTACACTGGGGTAGCACTTTACCTAGGGCCAAGAAGGCTCGAAATAATTTGAGTACCCGCTGAGTACTTTGGGGAACACTCGAGCTCCTAGGAACCTGGTTTGTGAGACCTCGTTTGCATGTTTTATCTAGACCCTTATGAAATGCATCGATAGCCGTGCCGTTGCTTATACTAACTCGTTACTTTTATCGGTAATGAAGTAACAACTTTGTTTTGTTTTGCAAACGGAAGGGTAATTTTTTTCTCCTCACGACTCGGAAGCGCCACGCGGATTAGCCAGCAAAAGAATATGACAACGTCATCTAAGTTCTCGCTTTGCTTGACAAGCACTAGAACAATCATTCTAGATGCCAAATTCTTGAGCTCATAAACTTACAGAAAAAGTAGACTGTGATTATCGAGCTAAGTAACACATCCTCCTCGGGAACAAGCATGATACTCTAGTACTTGAGCCAACGACGACTAACGGTACTTGGTTTTTCCTTTTAAGTGGAGTGTGCACGTCCTGTTTCGTCCTTAGTAGTATGAACTATTGGGCTAGTTGGTACGAGTTCATCGTAGAAGAACAGCGCGAAGGAGACAAGGACAAAAAGGGAGGACTACACAGGACAAGCGCTGTCCTGTGCAATTCCTCCTTTTTGCCCTGATCTCTTTCGCACTGTTTTTACTCAACAATTTTATCTCTTTTTTTCGACAGGAGGCAGCTCGTCCCTCGTTTTAAAGAATAAAAACGCCTTCAGTCAACGGATGTCTTCTAACCGGTTGTTTCTTGGTGCCCCAGGTTCGAGTACCTCTGGGCAGACGGACACAAGTACAAGAAGCCGACGGCGCTGCCCGCGCCCCAGTACATCTCACACCTGATGGACTGGGTGGAGGCGCAGATCAACAACGAGGACATCTTTCCCGTCACCATGGGTGAGAACTTACCCACCTACCCACCTTCTCCTTGCCACAACAAGCACGACGGCCGAACGGCTCGTCTGTCGCCAAGAGAACGGTGCCTGGAAGGTGTCTCCAACCTGTGCGTTTACTGCGTCCAAATCGTGGTCGCTCGAAATCCGCCCAATGGCGTAACAGAAGTGTCCCGCCGTCGTATGTTGCCCTGGCAACTGCGGCGAATGTAGCAAACGCCCATTCTTCTGTGGGTCGCCCTCCAGCTCGGCAGTCATGGAAGCTCCCGCGGTCCGACGACAGCGACGCTTGCGTCTACTTGCGTTTTCTTCCCGAACTTGTACGCCCAAGTGCCAAAGTCGTGACATCCGACAGCACCGCACTCGGTCATTTGTGGCCACTTGGGTACCGCTTTGGATGCAAGGGAGGAATAGGACGCCAAACAGACCAGTCGCAGACGCGTTCCAATCGCCGTACCGAGAGACGAGCCTTCTTTCATGGTTCTGGATCGGCGATGCTGCAGTCCGACCTTCGGGGGCTTACAATTCTTGTAATAAATTTAGAGGAAACTGTTTGTCGTCGGTGTTACCGACGGACCCTGGGTGGGCCCAGAGTATGACAGGTAATGCGAAAAGGCCGCAAACGACAGCTCCGAAGGTCGGCGCTTAGTCTTTCTATTGCGGAGCGTGTTACGTGGCTGTCGCCTAGCGGTTTGCGGTAACACACCCTCGCAACAAAGAGCATAGCACAAGTGCTGCACTGGTCTGGTTGTCCACGCCGATTGAGAGTCTGGCCAAACACTGGCGGGGCCGGGTTTTGGTGGGCGACGCAGAAAATGCGGCACTACATCCTTGTTGTCGGGAGGTGTTAAGCAGTGCACAAATGGGGGAGAGTGTGCGAGAGACGGAAGAGCGTGTGCTTGGCAGGGCACGGGGAGATGTGACATAACTGGGTCAAGGCAGGGGTACCCCAAGAGGTGCGAGTTTTGTGTTCCATTCATCGGGCGCTAGCTTCAGGCGCAATCTTTCGGAGACTCCACATGCGACAAAATTTGCACCGTCGAGGCCTAAAATGTGTACCGGGCTCTTCTGTACACAGCCACCGCGAAGCAACACACGGTGCATTCTGCGTTGCCACTGCCTTTGCCGCAATATTTAGCTTGGTTACACGAGAGAACATTGCGGTCGTGCGTTGTACGAGGAAAAACTGAAGTTGACAAGCACTCAACTAACTCGAACCATTTGATTATGTTGCAACGAAACAAGCACGCTCAATGCATCACCTGCTTTCTTTTCTTGCTCTTCTGTTTATTGCACCCTTAAAGGCCCAGCAGAGCATTAAGTAAAGGGGAGCAGTGAACAAAAAAGTGAACAAAGCACTCATTATGCACCACTACCCATATTAATAAAATAAAAGAATGAAGGAATGTCGGACGTAAATACAACAATGAAGAACAGGTATAAAATACAAAACATAAATACAATCATTGAGCAGTGTTTGGTAAAGTACATCTAAAAAGTGCCTCAGCTAAAGTGCAAAGTAACTGGGATGTGATGTACTTTGAGTAAAGTAGCAAGTACACTGGGTGCAATGTACTTGAAATAAAATGCTACAAATAGAATGTACTTTCAAAGTAAAGTACAAGCACTTTTTAACACAATACTTTTGTATTCCCTTTCATTACACTACCGTATTTACATGATTCTAAGCACCCCTCGATTCTAAGCACCCTCCCCCAATTCTCCAGTCGGAACGGTAAAAAAAAGTTTGCACGCGAATGTAAGCACCCCCATTTTTGCGTCCGAGCGCCGGCACGCGGGCACGCGGCGAGACTTGCGGATTGTCGTATACTCAGTTTCAGCACCGGTGGATAGATGGCGGCACATATTCCACGACTGTCGCACCACATCGCAGCCGCCACGGCCGCCACGCGCGTCCGCCATCGTGATTAGATTACGCCATTGCGCCGCTGCCCGTCGCCAACTGTCGCCCGTTTTGCTAGTGTGCTGTCTTGTTAAGAAGTGGTTCGAGTTTGATCAGCATGAGTGCGAAGCGGAGCTCCTACACGCTAAAATTCAAGAGAATGGCGATCTTGTTTGCGGAGGAGAACGGCAACCATAACGCGGCTGAGCAATTCGGTGTTGACCGCGCTTGCGTGATCCGGTGGCGGAAAGCACGGGAACAGATCTTCAAGGGTGCTACCACACGCAAGAAGTTTACTGGACCACGCCGAGGCCGTCACCCCGAACTAGAAAAAGAACTGTGTGAGTTTGTCCGCAGCGAAAGGTGCAGCGGCTTCGCTGTCACCGCTGACGCAATGCAAACAAAAGCCCTGGAGATCGCGACAAGGATGAATATATCCCGTGCCGTGTTCCGCGCCAGTCGAGGCTGGGTTGAACGCATGATGAAAAGGAACGGCTTTTCTCTAAGACGTCACACAACAACATGCCAGAAGCTCCCCCTCGACTATGAAGATAAGCTGGTGAAATTTCAGCAATACGTAATGGAGCTCCGAAGGAAGTCCCACTATGTCCTTGGTCAAATCGGCAACGCCGACGAGACTCCGGTCTACATCGACATGCCAAGGACGTGTACGGTGAATGAAGTCGGCGCCCGGGAAGTTCGAGTCCGAACAACCGGCTATGAGAAACAGCGTGTCACTGTGATGCTGTGCGTTACAGCTGACGGCCGGAAGCTGCCTCCGTACATCATTCTAAAGCGAAAGAACATGCCCAAGAATGAAACTTTTCCTTCGGACGTCGTTGTAAGAGTCCAGGAGAAGGGCTGGATGACCAGTGACCTAATGCTCGACTGGATTGAAGTTGTCTGGAAGCAACGGCCAGGAGCATCGCTCGGCGCACTCGAGGGAACGAAGTCGATGCTCGTGCTCGACGCGTTCCGCGGCCACCTTACCCCGGAGGTGAAAGAAGAGCTCGGAGGCTGCAACTGCGATCTCGTAGTTGTGCCGGGCGGGATGACGCCAGTGCTGCAACCGCTTGACGTCTCGATAAATAAGCCATTCAAGGAGAACTTGCGGCAGGAATACGAAGACTGGATTCGCAATCCCGACCGGAAGAAGACGCCAACTGGAAGGCTGCAGAAAGCCTCCGCGTCAACCGTTGCGATGTGGATATCGGACGCATGGAAGAGGGTCCAACCCGAAGTCGTCGTGAAATCTTTCAAGAAATGCTGCATCACTAACTGCATGGACGGGTCTGAGGACGATGTCCTGTGGGACACCGAGAGCAACGCCAGCGGCAGCTCGAGCAGTGGCACTGACGACTCGCCGTCGAGCGCGTCGAGTGACAGCGAGTGAGCGTGGTGGATATCTAGTAGACTGGAATTCTCTTCCATGCTTGTTGGAATTCCAGTGTATGATCTACTTTTGCATTGCCGTAACATAAACTTGTATTTCTACTGTAAAATTGGTGAGATTCTGGCATTTTTCAAATCTAAGCACCCCCCCCTACTTGTGCATCACAGGCGCAAAAAAAAAGGGGTGCTTAGAATCGCGTAAATACGGTATATATACAGTGTTTTTTAACTGGTATGCATTGCCCCAGGGGTAATCGGGGGTTCATCACTTATTTTCGGAAATGGCAGCAAATATTGGATAAACTCAGGTGGCCACAGAGTAGTTATTTTCAGAAATGCCGCCAAATTCAGAAGTCCCTCCAACTTCTAAATTTGTTGCCGCCTGTAGTAGCTGGTTCCACCCAAGGGGGTTAAATGTCCTAGGAGAGAGCACAATGTCAGCCCTGTAGCTTCCACAAGCAATCCTCTCGTAGAGTGATATTTTAAATGGATGACCGTATTTTTCAAAAAAAGGAGGCGCATTTGACAGATATGTTTACGTCTTGTTTCTCCGAGAAGGAGAGGGAACGGCTTCGCGTCTTCTCCGCCACGCCGCCTTTGGGGGGCGAAACGAAGAGAGGAGGAAACGTGATATCTTGATGTCACGCGTCTCGTTGGCCTCGTTCAGTCCCAACCTCTTTTTCCGAAAATTTGGCTGTCTATTCGAGATATCTAGGGTTGTGCGAATATTCGAAATTTCGAATAGTAGTTCCGAATAATATATTATTCGATACTCGCTTCGAGAAGAACTTCACTATTCGCGTTTTTCGAAGTGTTGATTGCGGTGGGTTACCCCCGTTGAGTGTGCTTCTTACCGAGCACTGGTGCATTGCGGAGAAGCAATACCCGCGGAAGCAAGCTTCGCGGGTGTTGCTTCTCTGCATTGCATCGGTGCTCGGTAAGAAGCGCACTCAACGGAGTAACCTGTCGCGATAAACACTTGGAAAAGTATGAATATCACAGTTGCGTGTTTGGACGAAAACCATACATTCAAAGCGGGATGGTGCATGCGCTGTATATGAAAATAAAAGGAAACTTTGTGGATGTGTATACTGTAAAACCCTTTATTTTCGGGGCCCCTATTTTTCGCGAATCGGTCACAGAGGACATATCGCGGCCACTAAATTTTGCGAATTCCAGAGACCTGCATTGAAATTCTTGAAGACCAAAATTTTTGCGTGCCTTTAAGTTTTGCGAATTTTTCAATTCGCGATATTTGCGAAAATTAAGGGTTTTAGAGTATCTACATTGTAGTAAATGTTTTAAAATTAAACTGACTGTTTTGCAAGAATATATGTTGGGCAGAGATGCCCTTACAACCGGCGTTCATCGTGCACGAGTCATTCTTTTTTACCTCTAAATTTAAGAAAAAAAATATTTAAGATTTGTAAATTCACTCAATTGGGTATAGTTGGCCATTTCCATTGGATTCATTTTATGTTAGACTTGTTGTTTACTTACCATCCCGAGACATCAGAACTTCTGAGGTCACAGTTCATAAATATAGATAGATTAAACTTGGCTTATAAATGATTAGGTGGAACAACCTTCACAAGTTTCGCTGGGGTTTTGTCTAAGTATTATGTTATAATAGTGAAAGGCGTGGAAAAACTATTTGATATTCGATTCGAAAATATTCGGCCAAAACCACTATTCGCTTCGAATTCACTTTGAACTCAAAATCCACTACTTGCACAAGGCTAGAGATACAGCCTTACAAGTAGTGTTGTAGGGATTCTAGCATCCCGTCTACAGCTCCTGCATTGTTTTCTGAAATCCAAATTTTGGTTCATCATCCCTTTAACAAAAAAAAAGTGATTGTGCAGTCGAACCGGGGATAATTAATCATAATGTGACACCAAAGATTATGGTGCGAAAAAATTAAGGAACTTATAAGTCGAAGAAAAAGACGCTGTAGAATCTGTCAAAACATTGTGATGTTTTCCTCTGTTGTTTTTTCCTTCGACTTTAAAGTCTAATTTTTTCGCACCATTGTTTCGGTTGTCACGTTACGATTAATTGTCCTCTCCTAATAGTTTTAACTTCCTCGCTTGCCCTGACCGAGCAAGAAGTAGCGAAAGTTCAAAAAGCTACGGGAAAGCCGCCCCCAGAACAAACGAAGCAATGCGTCGTCTGCTCACTTTTCTGGTGAGAGTAGAATATACCTCCCAGTATTTTTTCAGAATTGACAAAGCATTGTTTTGTGATACAAATTTAACATGTCCAAATTGGGCAAATGTACTTTGAAGTCAGGAGTTGTACTTCCTTTGGAAAGTACCAGAAAAAAAATACTTAGAAGTACAAGAACATACTCAGAGAATATGTGTCAAGTAAAGTACAAGTTTTATAAACCTACTTAAAGTGGTACTTTAAGTAAAATGTACTTCAAGTACTTCCCAACACTGTCATTGTGAACATTAATAAGTCAGTGATAGAAGTGCTGCACCATTTGTGCCAAATTGCGCCGTGAGCGAAAGTCTGCTACATCTTGCGCCGAAGTGCCATTTTGGCTAAGAATTGCGCCACACCTGCGCCGAGATGGGCAAAAAGAAAAATTTATATATTTTTCTTATTGGTTGACCCTAATATTTAAAGAAGTAGAAAGAAAGAAAAACGGTAGAAATATGTATTTCACAGCATCTCTACTCACCATATACGTTGTTTCATCTAAGGTCAGAGCACAGTCGACGGCTCGAGCATGTACAAGACGAACACACATAGTAAAAGTGCAACTCACGAGACATTCGCTGCCTTTGATTGGTTTAGTCGACGAAAGGACACGTACAGGAAGATAGTCAGATGACCTCGATGTCGCGCTTTGACGTTGTTTGGCTAATCCCATTGACTCGTAACGTTGGCTGTGCTTTATATTGAGGTAAAACAAAGTTTTAAGATTGCTCGACCACCCCGCTGGCCGGTTGATGCGCTGGCGGCTTCATCATCGACGTCCTCTAGTATTTCAGAAGATGTCTGCGATGTCAGGAGCCGAAAAGTTGCGAGAAAACTTTTGCAGAATAGAAGGATGGCGGCTGCTGCGATAGGACAGAACCAGGCTCTTGTACTCCTGGTGAAATCACTCGATTGTTATGTTTGCCGTATGCCTCCGTGGCGCCTTTCACCAGCCCATGCGCGTCGAGCTTCACCGCCTTGCACCGAAGTGCTAACAGTAGCTGCTGGCATGGGTGAGCGTCTGGTTTAGCACGATATACATGTAAGTTATGCTCAGTTATATTGCAGGTCCACATTCTTTGATCTCGATTATATGATCTTGTTTCCAAATGCTGCGTCAAAAAAAGAAAAAAAAAAACGCGGTGCTTTATTTGAATAAATGTAAGCGCAAGAGTAGGTTTTCATAATATTTCTGGGTGGCTTTTTTCAGTTTTTAATTATCAAGTCTTGAGTTTGGTAACAATCAAATTTAACAGGCACATTTTTGCTGATAGATGTGTTAGCGATTATGTTGGTTTTTGGTGGAATTTTAGAGAAACAATACATACAGGCTAAATAAACTGGGTGTATAAATCGGGTGTAAAAGTGCGAGGGAGGCTTTATACATGGTTGAAAAAAGCCAGAGACTGCGGGTAAACGGCTTTATCTTAACTAAAGTGTGATTAATTTCTCATCAGTTTTTTTTTTTTGTATCCATTTTAAATGGAACCTACTCTGAACAGAGCCTTATTTCTAAAAACAAAGCTCTATGTACCTTTTGTCACCTATTTGTTCTTATTACAAAAGGTAATAAGTAGTATGCCCCAGTATCAACGAGAAACCCTTTGTCATTATCATATATAAACTTATTTAGCAATGCAATCAATTATTTTTTTTATTTTTGAGTGATATGCTAACAGACCTTGGCATCTGCTACAAAAGTGTCAGTGGCTGCTCCGAACGAATATTTTGCCTGCTACAGAACCTGCTCCAAAGGGTCAAATGCCACTTCCATCACTGATAAGTTCACTAGATGTCATAACAACAGAACTAGTCCCTTATGGAAACAGTGAGGTAAATGATTTACGAAACAAGATGGTGTCGCTCTCTTCCTCACACTTTTTCTCGGCTCTTAAGGTTTGCCAGACGCTAGTCCCGCCTTTACCCCCTGTCCAGGTGCTGGGTAGTTTGCTCAGGAAACAAACTTGAACCGCATCGACTCTCTCTTTGCAAAAACCAGTGTGTGTAAGCGAAATAGATACCTGTTTCATGCTTCATCATAAGAGTGTTGAAAGAAAATTATCTTTATGCAAGGGATGAAGTTGGTGTACTCAGAATGTGTTTCACAGTGTTCTTTGCTGTTTGTGGCAGACTTTCTTCTTTGATATGCCGATATAAGCTGAAGGAGAGGAGGAGAGGACGTCGCAGCACCGAGCTTTGTTTGGAATGATTAGTGGGTAGACGTAAAGCTGTAGCTGCTTTTGTCTGTAGTCACACTTTGAACGGGAATGCCGGCATTTGCATTCAAACTGGGAGTACACGGGTGTTTTTCAGCTTCAGTGTCTCCTCTTGGGCACAGTGGTAAAGCGTTGGGCTCGTAACCGTGAGTTCAATCCCCATCGGGTCGCATTTAGAAGTTTGTTCTTCTCATATAATTCTGTACAAAAGAATGCATAATTAAGAGGAAATAGTAAGTTTGTTCTTTCATCTCGTATAATTAAAATTTTTTGTTAATTATGCATTCTTTTGTACAGACAGTCCTCTGAAGTTTGTGTAATGCCCAAGTCCCACTAGAGTGACAAACAAGAAGAACCGACAGTGACAAGCCTCGAACCAGATTTTTTTGCGATTTGAAAGGCCTTGTAGAACACGCGCGCACGAGGGTACCTTTGGCAGGCTTGCAGTCACTAGTGCTTACTTGACGAGCACCGAACGATTAAAAGCCTGCCAAAGGTACCATTGCGAGCCTGCTGCATGTGTTGAAGGCTTGTTCGTGTTGGTTGTTTTTGTTTGTCGCTGTAATGGGACTTTGGCATTATACATTTCCTAAACGGTTTCTGGGGCGTGCCATGGCACTTCCTTAAACACATTCTGCGTTAAAATTGCTTTGCATTCTCCTTAAAGTTTCACGTTCATGCCTCGCGTCTACCGCTGGACTGTACGGAAGTTTGGCAACAAAGCATTCTAATGTCGGACACATTAGCCCGCCACCGTGTTTCTAAAGACCGGACGTTTCTGTGCACGCAGATGTCCGGTTCCCTCGCAACTTTGTACCCACCTGCAAGAAGATTCTGGCGCGTCTGTTCCGGGTCTTTGTCCACGTCTACATCCACCACTTTGACAAGTTGGTTGCCATCGGCGCCGTAAGTTTCTTTGAAGTGTTTCCAATTGGCGTGCCGTGCGTTTGCCGAGCCATTGCCGAGCATATGCTGAGCTTTCGCCGAGCTTTTGCCAAGCTTTTGCTGAAGGTACTGTTCGTATCTGGTTGGGGGCGTTTGCCAGAGCCAAATGTGAACGCTAGACTATCGGTTTTAACGGGTCGTCAATCTATTTGTCCACTTGGCTAGGCATGTTGTCACCTGCCACAAAGAGGCAGCTAGGTAGGGTATGTCTTTAGATTTGCAGCACAATTAAATACCTGGGTGGAGAGTTATCTAATAGCATCATTTTCCTGTGGTTGGGGAAAAATTTTCTGTTGGGATTGAATAAAAAATTGTGTCGCAGGCTGCTTTAAAATTTATTTTGACGAAACTTGCAATAAAATTTGTATCCTTATTGTTCTTCGAGGTAAACACCTCGGTAGCCGAAACGCCAGTTTTTGGTTTTACAAGACTCCTCAGGATTGCACCTGATGGCTGGGTAGATAACTTTAGCAGCACAGATTTTGGAAATCATTGTCTTGGGTGAGCGTAAAAAATTTGACAGCCCGAAACTTGAAGCTTTTTTTATACTACGCTTGATTACAGTCGCCAATTGATTTTTTGGGTTCTGAGGGGACCCCTAAATTGTCCAAATGCTCAAGTGGTCTAAAAAATTGATTTCAGCCAAAATATCAAATTTTTGCGCATATTCCGCTGCGTATTGTGCACTTTCCACTTGCCTGATGTCAATTTTAAGTTCTCGTGCAACTTCCACTTTATATTCACTTTTCACTTGTATTTTTGTTTGTTTGTTTTTATCATGGTGCTGTGCTTTGTTGGCACAAACAGTTAAGTTGAAGTTGATGCAATTTGGCACTATTTGGAGACAATGTTTAGTCCACCAAGCTCGCTTCAATACTAAGCCTATCAGCAAAAAAACCTTGGCGCTCAAAGACCGTAAGAGCAGCAGACAGCTGCTCTTCTCGTGGTCGCACTCGAAAAACATTGACCACGAGAAAAACTGGAATAAGAATGGGCCGACGGTGGCCATGTTGGCTATAGCAGAACTGGAAAACCCAACTATAGCCTCAGCCTAGCTTGTTCATTGTGTATGAGGTGGTATCGAGGCTACAGGGTTAGCGGAACAAAAGTTTGCAAAAAACAATTCTGTTTTGCTAACCTTTTGAACAGGCAGACGCGCGTGCATAGCGATAGCAAAGTTGGAAGCGTTCATTAAACTTTAGTTACCATAGCACTTGTCCTGTGTGCTTCTTCGTCTTTTTGTCCAGTCTTTTTTGCAATATTTTTAATGTGAATATTTATTGTTCACATTAATTTTTGTTATTATGAAGTTTGACATGTGAACTGTCATTGATGTCCTTATCAAATGACAAAAGCGTTCTTATTTTAATTAAGACTCACAGTTTTATTGCAAGTTTTAGAACTTAAGCAAAACAGGAATTTGGGTGCTAAAAATTAGTCTATTCTGACATTATTTTGGTGGAATATAGCATTTGATTTTCCTTTGATTCCGTGCTTAAAATTACCATTCACAGCAGTTCATACCCTCCTTCATCAGTCAGCACCTCGTTAAAGTGCCTGGTGTTTTTGCAGGCGTCTAAAGAGCTAGTTTTGTGTTTGAGGAGCTCAAACCTTCCATGGAGTTGATGCTAACAGAAGAGTGCACAGAAGTGGTAAGGCAAAGGGAATAATGTCTTTTAATTGGGACAGGCCAACACATGAATTTTAGCATAATATTTGTGCTGGTATAAATGAAAACAAAGTGCATGCTTTTATGCTCCAAAAGTGTTTTTTTCTGCTTCAAAATTATTGTTTGGCTGCTCCAGAAGGTGCTCCAAAATGACTTGGACCAATCACATCACTGCTAATATGAAGACTATAAATAGCCTCAGCAAGGCGAACCACCGTGCTAGCATAACGATTATAGTTTGCCAAAGACAAAACAAATAGCGACAGCTCCTGCGGTGTGCGTGCCTTTGCGTTTAGGCGGGCACTTTCAAATGTGTATCCACCGTTGTACGTGTACGGCAACCACTGTCAAAGTGTTGAAGAAAAATAACATTGGTTTGCAGAGTCATTTGGTTTATGTTACCATATTTCCTGGACCACAGTCAGCACTCAGTGCATAGTCGGCAAGGGCAAATTTTGCTCGACAAAAAACATTTTCTTAGATAGTCGGCACCCAGTTCATAATCCGCATGTAAAAGAAAATTATCATGCACAGCACGCCTTAAAAATTGCTCGTTTTGGCAGCGCACAAAAAGGCTTGTATCATCAGAAATCATCATTGACATCATCAACCATTTAAAAAAATCTCTCATATAAAATGATTTGAGGGGTGTGACTTCTGCGCCGATTTCGCTATTTTGACTCAAACCCAATTTTTTGTGCCTAGCTGCGCCAAAAACGCGAAACCGGTCGAAATTGCGCCACACTGCACTATGGCAACACTCTCAAAAAAAAAAAAAAAAAGTTTGTGGTGGCGCTAGATTTAGTGGGAAACGACAGCTTGGTTGGCAGCATTTAATCTCATCGTAGTAAAGTACACGGCACGGGTACAGGGTGGCGCAAGCAACCGCCGGATTCGAAGATTTCAGCTGTAGTACCCTTCTATACCTATGATACGTGGTCTTTTCCCGATTTTCCTACTACCTTCCACTGTCATTTGTGACTGTATGCTAACAGTGCGTTACCACACGGTCTCGCTGTCTGGCGGGTGGTACGACGCACAGGCTATCAAGATGAGCAAACCTAAGTATTTCTTTTGTTCCGAGAGTAGACCTTTCCTTAAAAGTGCTATTGAGCGCCTCCATTGTGTAATTGTTGATTCGTGTCCGTAATCTCGTCAAAATGGACGGCGCCATTGCCGTGAGTACTTTCAGTTATCACATACGTGCTTCCAGTGCGTGAGCAATCAAATGAATCAGTTGCACGCCCATATTTAGTGTGCCTATGCTGCTCACTTTTGTGGGGTGTTTTTTTTCTATCTGCACGGGCTTTCTACGAGCGTCTGATCGATGTCTGGTTCTGGGAAACCGTGCTTGCTCTCAAATCACCGCTTTAAAAAGTTTCGCACTCCAATTGCGCTTTGGCACCAGTTCGTATAAGCTTGAGGTACCTGGTGCCCACCGAACTTTGCAGCAAACTTGTGTTTCCTGTCCTCATCTATGCGCATAAAACTCGCGTTTGCCTTTTCCGCTTTTTTTTTTTTTTCTTTTATATTTTATTTTGGCGCATATCAGCGCTGATGACTTATTGGAACCAGGGTGGACAAAAATAATGATTAAAAAAGAGAAATTTGATTTATGTGATTTATATTAGATTTTTTTTATGATTACGATTTCTAATAAGCTGCTCTAACATTTTCTGCTCCTAATCTGCTCCAAACTGGAGATTTTTGTGCTTCCAAGTTGCTCCAAAATGCATAAATTGCTGCTGCAAAACAAGAATTTTGTGCTCCTAAGCTGCTCCAAAATCCGGATTTTTCTGCTCCAAAAATTGCTTTTAAATCTGTTTAACCTGCCTGACCCCTTTGATTTTGAAAAAAAAACTTAGTATAATGAGCATTTGTTGATAGTCCGCACCGCACAAAATTAAACGTGCATAGTCTGCAGAATATAGTCCAAAAAATGTGGTAACTTATTTTCTCGTGTGGGTTTTTGCCGAGTCTTGTTGTACCGTTTTCTCCCCTCCGATTCTTACACCCTCGAGTTAAATAAATTTAGGAATTATTTAAGATTTGCTCCGGCCTCTCG